TGCTGCTTTTGTCACTAAACCTCCAGGAATTTTATTACCAAATTTTTGATTTAATTCTAAAAATAATTGTCGCAAAAAATAGATTTTTGATCAACCGAGAGATGTGTGTGCTAATAAAAAGAGTACTCGTATTGCTTTAAATATTATGTGACCTACCGTTTAACGCTCCTTGTGTTTTTTCCAAAGAATTCTCTGGCAAGTCTACAGGCTTCTCATCTTTGATACTTCCAATTCCAGCGGCAGTCGCCAGATCTTTACCGCCACCTAGCAAATAGTTTTTTATGTTAGGTTAAAAATTTCATGTAGGAATAATCATATTATCTTGTACAAAGTGACGACTCATAGAATATCAGATTGAATAAAATTCTACATATGCAAAGAACAAGTTTATAACTTACCAGGTACTTCAATTTTATCGGGATCCTCTTCATCGTCAAAGTCACTCCCACTGGTATCATCACTCACTCCGTCATCATACTTTTTTGTTGCCTGCAAAAATACACGTCGCAATCAACAGATTCAACTCGAATTGCAAAAATAAAAATCCAAAGAGCAAAAAAGGAATATATAATCTATCTATATAAATGCTTGTTCGTAATAAAACTGCAGCATTCAATTTGCCGAAATGTAAACCGCCAAGTAGATACCAAAATCGTTAATTATTATAAATCTCATTGGCTCTCTGCTGCAAAATCCAATCTTAATTGGGAACATGCATTGTACATAGATAATAAAATTCAAAAATATTCTTCATAAACGAGTGAGCATTTACGATTCTGAGATCGCGTGGCGACGCATTAGAACGCGAGTCCCCGCTGTTCAGCATGAGAGAACAAAAAAACGAGGGGCGTCATGCTCACGAGTCTTTAGGTTATAGCCGTTTCTCTACGTAGACGAGGGAAACGGGTACAGCTAATTTACGCGCTAGCCCTGGCAGGAAGCGCGTGCCCTGAACTTGAGAGATACACTTCCGTTTCCCCCTTCGTTCTTCCTTTCAATTTTTATCTCGGAATTAGCGATTAAAAAAAAAACCTACCATGACAAACCGAGCGCCGCGAGACCTCGCGCGCTATCTCGTCGCGACGCGTGGCGGTGCTAGGACGTGGACGACGATGACGGCGACGGCGCTTCGGCGAGGTATCTCGCTGGTACCTTCGACAGGGTGTTCGCGGGCCCCGAGACGAGCGAACGACGTAACTTTTCTTTTTTTTTCCTTCTTTTCTTTCGACCCGGTTCAAGAAAGAGCGCGTGCTGCGTCAAGCGGGCATAGCCGACGACAATTACGCGGCGTCGTGCGCGAGCTACGAGGACGATGCGACGAACGTAGGCGATCCACGGCCGAACCGGTCCATCTCACGCGGTTGTCGTCGTCGGGAAGCAACGCGCGCGCGGTTCAAGGTTCGAGAGCGCGTTCGCTCGGCTGCACGGCTGCCGCCATCTTGAGCCCCGTCCCGTCGCCCGGCACCCATCCCCCCTCGATCGCCACGAACGGTGCGCGAGCGCGAACGGTACAAAAACACCCGCGCCCGCCTTAGTTGCGCGTTGCCATCGCCGGGAGGCGCCACCGGCGCCGGCGGGTGGACGCCGCGCTGTTGCCGGATCGTCGCGGGGGCGACGAATAAGGGCAGACTCGTAGGGCGCGCGAGAGCCGAAAAATCGTCGCGTTTTCACGACCGATCGCTGCGCGGCAGGGCGGGAGGGAGGGAGCGCGAGATTCGTTTTCTTCCCTCGCGCCTCGCGAGTCGCGCCGCCGGCGCCCGCGGGTGAAAATGCGCGCGGAGAAGAGTCGCGAGTTGCGGAAGCGTCACGGGAAATCCAATGTCCCTCGGCGTTTCCGTTATCGAACGCTCTCGTGACTCCCCACGATTTTTAAATTAGGATCACCCGCGAGCGCTGCGGAGGTTCGCGATGAATTTTCGAGCGATTCGACTCCGATATTCGCGGTAACGAGGCTTACGAATTGATTTGGCGTAATCGCGAAAGCCGGTTGTCGCAACTTAAAAGACTGGCGCTATTTAAAAGAAGAAAAAAAAAAGAATCAAATATTTATTAGTTTTGTTGCTTGAAGCACGTACCATTTCAAACGGACGATTCCAAGATCTGAGACCGACGTCTCGCGTCCTCTCGTCAGCGAAACGCTACGTGAAGCCGCTCGTCGAAGGTTGGACGGTCGACAACTTTCGTTGGCGGTGTTTTTAACGCAAACCTGTTTATTCGAGCACGTGCGTGTACGCGATCGTAACGCGACTGTGACGACGACACCAGACGACAGACGAAGCTGCCGTATCACCATCGACAGGGCACTATCAAAGGTCGCCGGCCGTATGAAGATTCATGCAAGCTTGCAGATTTCGTGCGCAGTCACGCCCTCTTGGAAGATACAGCGGTCAGAGCGAGAAACGTCGATCCAGCACGCGCGAATGATAACTGCGGAATAATAATTATACAAAGATGTATAATATTCTCGCGTCGCAGGGATGTATAAATATTTACGAGACATCGGGATAACGGTAAATTGTGTAATCAGTGGCCGCGTTATAGGCCAAACGTTCGGATTTGTATCGAAATGCTCGAAAGGAGTCGATAACGTCAGTTCTCTGTTATTATCCGACTCGCACGATTTTCGACCACAATGTCGCGCGTCATATATTCTCGTGTTCACGGACGTCCGCGCGGGGGCACGGCGACGGGGTGGGCGTACGCTTGGCAACGTCGCCGCTGCGTGCGGCGCTGATCGTTAGTCGATTTAAAGTATTCGCGCTAAAAAGAAAAGAAGCCGCACCGGGCGGATTCGGCACGCGGACGTCGATCGGCGCCGCGCGGATCGCAAATTCCGCGTCGCCGCGCGTCACGCGACGCTCCCGGCCGCGTCGGCGACCGGTGCGATCCGCGCGTGCATCGCTCCTCGCGACGCGATCGCCGATAAATCTGTCTAAAAAATAGTTAACGTCTCGCGAGCGCGCGCGGCGATCGATCGCCGCGCTGCCGCGCCGCGCTCGGTAGCGCCGCGTCGTGGCGCGCGCGCGAACTAGCCGCCGCCGAGCGGTAATTTCATTCCTGCGATGCGTCCGCCGCCACCCTTCCGCCCCTTTGCGTATCAACCAGTTGCGATAACACACACGGTATATAATGATGCATTATTTATTGCCGTGTATTAATCTAGCAGTATTTAAACTATTAATAAATAAAACGAACATAATTAGATTAGAATCCTTGCATGTAGAGGAACTTATATTCGCATGTCTATTTGATTATTCATACATCTAAAAAAAATAACTTCGTAATAACTCCGAAATGTGTAATAATAAAAAATAGAAATAATTTTATACGTTCGTGCAAGATATTGAGGAAACGTTTCCGTTTCTACGCGACGCATAAATTCTGACGTTTTTTCCAAACATCTGTTTCAGGTGTTCGGCTATTTACGCGTCGCAGTCATGAAACAATTCCTCGTTATTGATCGTACACTCGGCGTCATGAATGCTTCAACGTAACGAAAACTCCATATTGAAATTCGTTTTGCGCTCGGTCGCCACGTCCGACGTCCAATAAGAAGCCACGTTTCCTAGGGACATTTCCGTCCCTAGGCGTGATTCCCAGGAAGCGCGCCTTCCCATTGGACATCGGAAACCGCCGCGACGTGCGGAACGTATCGCGCAACATGGCGGCAAGTCGTTCGCTCGGCGTTGCTTGCGGTATCGCTCGGCGGATCCGAGCCCGTAGGAGATCGTGAACCGCGTTCGCGGGTGTCTCGTGCGCGCGGCGACCCGTCGCTCGCGAAAGGACGCGACGCCGACGAGACGGGCGAGGACGCGCGAAGCGCGTCACGTCGCTTCGCGTCGCACCGTGCCACAAGTCGCAACGGACGCGCGGTCCGTCGTCACGGCACGGCCGATTTGGGCCGATCGCTGCTTCAGTGATTCCGCCGCTGTCACGCGCTTCGCTTCATCATGTACCGAGCGACCCGCGCGTCGTCCCACCGTGTGGGAAACCGCGCCGTCGGCGCCGCGAGAGGTAAGGACGTCTCACGCCAGGACGCGTCGCGTGACGACGCTCTCATTTCGCGAGGAATCGAGCATTCGAGCGCGCCGGCCGCGGCGGCAGGTTATGTTTTATGTTTTCCCTGGGTCTCGCTTCCTCCTTCGCTCCATCTTGATCGCAGCGAGACGCTTTGGCTTCCCTCTCTCCCCTGCGCCGCTCTGACCGCTGGCGATCTTCCCGTCCGCCCGCTCCCCCCGATCCTGTGTCTCGGCGCGCGACATTTATCGCCTGTCTCGATGCCGTCGGGTTTTGCAGTTCGTTAATATCGCGCGAGGCGATGACCGGGACACGTTCGTCGCGACGCCGATCGTCTTGACAATGACGATTTTCGTTTCGCCGCGGCACGCGGGACTGGAGCTAAAGCATCGGGTTAGAACACACCGTGGTTAGAACTAAGAACTCTAAACTGTCTAAACTAACATGGAGTACGAAGTACGATAATTGGGATGTCAGTTTTACTGCTGCGATTCTCTCCGCCTGGAGCGATCGTTTCGATTAGCTTCGACCGCGGTTCTTGAAGATTCTCTTCTGACGTTTCTTTTCATTTTTTTGATATCTCGCGACTTTTGAATTATGTAGCTTTGTAGCCGCTCTGTACATTTTCACTTGTCAGATCATCATTCTTTTTTTGCCTTTAGAGAAAGTATACTTCTAACGTTCAAACAACCTTAGGCAATGAGTTCTTTAGAATTATTTATGAATTTTATTTAGAGCTTCAGCGATATTATTTATGATAACTGTGCACAAAATTTATTTCTCATCAAGTATATATTTTTGTGTTCTAAATTTTTTATATAATTTAATATACATATATGTATATTATTAATTGTAATATATTTAATTAATTATAATTATTTTAACATCGTTTTATCAAGCTCAAAGGCTTAAATGTTATTAATAATTAACACAGGAAGACGGAAGAATGGTGTAGGAAAAAATGTGACAAAGACTTTACCTTCAATTGTACAAAGTAATAATGCAAGTCCACTGGTGAAAAGCGAGAGCAAACTGGATACCACCAAACAAGCAACAAATAAATTCGACACAATCAAAACGGAATCCGTACTAGAAACATGCAAATCTCCTATATTCATAATTTACTCTCATAGTCAAGTAAGTATCTTGTGTTAAAATTTATAGTATGTTTGTGTCATTTTCTTTATTAATATTTACATGAATAAGTAAGAAATATATATGTGTAAACGCACGTTCTGCAGCATTTTGTTTTATTTCATTTGCCGCAGGATCCAAATGCCGAAGTTACGAAAGGGAAAAGCCCGCTTGCCCAATATTTTTTCGATAATGCGCAAACTGTTTCAACTCGTGTTCAAGTGAAGGAAGAGATTACTCCTTATGTAGAACAATTCAAAACTGACGGTATGTAATTGCAATTCTGTTTACACATAATCAGCTTTTCTATTTTTTATTGAATTTATGACATTTAAAGAGACTGTGATTTATTTAGAAACACCAGTAGCTGTTCCAATTTATACGCCTTCTACGCCACATAGAATAAAGATGCCATCGGAAGATATAGACGAGGGTGCTACAATTACTACTAAGGACAAGCAATCTGTGATTTCATTACTGAGCCCGTTAAAAGTAAAAAAGCCAGCAGCTCCACGTGGCCGTAAAAGAGGAACCTCCAATCAGTCTCTCAGTCATCGTTTGTCGAAGCCGCAGGGCATCGAAACGAACCATTCGATTACCGACTACTTTCCAGTACGTCGTAGCGTAAGAAAGAGCAAGAAGGCTGTATTAGAAGAGAAACAACGTGATCTAGAACACAAAGTGCTTTGCCAGGTGGAGGATGGTTTAGAGGTAAAAATCCATGCGCACGGTCTAGCAGAGATTTCAGTTTACATTTTAAGTAAGTCAAATTATGGCAATTTATTTTCTATTACAGGTCAAAAACTTTCCAGGCAAAGGTCGAGGTGTCATAACGACACGAGAATTTGCTAAAGGCGAGTTTGTAGTGGAATATATTGGCGAGCTGATCAACCAGGGGGAGGCGAAGGAGCGCGAGGAGATATATGCACAAGATCAAAATACCGGATGCTACATGTATTACTTTCAACATCATAATCAGCAGTATTGGTAAGAAAAGTTTGGATCTCGACAAAATAATCATTCTTTATCTACGCGGAAACCTATAATGATTTAGATTGGGACAGATAGAACAGAAAAATCTGTAATGCACATGCTGATATTGCATATGATTTTCAGTGTTGATGCGACCGCGGAGTCTGACAAACTTGGCAGATTGGTGAATCATTCGAGAACCGGTAATTTAATCGCGCGGATCGTTGAGGTCAATTCAATACCGCATCTGGTACTTACAGCGAAGGAGGATATACCGATCGGCGTAGAGGTCACGTACGATTACGGAGACCGAAGTCGCGAATCCATTCGTCATCATCCATGGCTGGCGTTATAGCACTTCCAATTTCACTATTTATAATGACATCGCGTTACATTGTACAAAAGATTCATTTCATTTACGTTCCTTCCATGAAGGAACTATGTATAGCGCGAATTGTGTATAAATTATTTTCACAGCGAGACGCGGAATCTTTAGCGTCTGGACACGCGACTGTGCGAGCTTCTATGCTAGTGAATTCCAAATATTTTCCTACGTTACTCCACGAAATTGATTCGTTCGGCTAGTAAAAGAGAATTAATATTGAATTGTTAATCACGACATTACTTGTTTTCGTATGTATCGGAAGAGTAAAGTATGATTTGTATGTTATAACATTTAGCTTAATGACAGGTTTGATGTAATTTATTAAAAAAAAAAAAAATGATTTTTTTAAAGGAGAGAAAGTATATTTCTGTCTTAATGTTAAACGTTTAACTTTAACATATGCAGTATTATCAATCGAATTAGACCCTTTGCACTCGGTATTTGAATTGCGTAATCGTGACAAATCGTAGCATCTGCTTCATCTAGTCCCAGCTTTGGTCTGGTATCTATTGACAGCGATCGAGCTTGGATTTTCCACATACTGGACAAAGAATTCCTAGTTGAAGCGATTGTGATACGTAGCTACGAAAACGGTGTATCCCTCTCCTACTCTTTCGAAAAAGTATATATATGCATGTATGTAATCATATAGTGCGACTATCGACGAAAGAGATCTTTTTGTTCAAGTATTTGTTTGCGATGCACAATAGCTTTGAGTGCTTCACTGCCACATATTTAGATGCGAGAACTTGATTTCTCGAGAGACAATTGTACATATAGCCTATACAAATGACACTTGCGAACCTATTCTTTGAGTGTTTATATATATATTCATCTTCCTTAAAATAATTACGTTAAAGAAAAAAACAGACAATTGTTATATTCTTATCCTCATTTCGTTGTCAACTATTTATAGTACACACGAATATGCATTATTATTTAATATTTTATCGCTCACATACTTTTACATTGCCGCTAGTTTGTTACTACCGCTCTAATTTGTAATTTACAATTAATGTTCGATTTTCGTTAAGAATAATTAAGCCTAATTTACCGATCTTCCCCATTCCTTTTTTTGAGCCTTCAACTTTAAAGAGTAATTCTAAAAATAGGCTTATATATAATATATACAGAGAAGAAGCAGTTTTTAATAAACATTTTTTATGCTGTCGATAATTTTACATCCGTTGATCGTGTTTACCGCATGTCTTATCGCACGCAAGAATTCTTGTAGCTCCGCATATTGTATACGAAATATATACGGTTTATTTAAAGTTGCAAAATTTGGTATGTTTTTACATCTATTTTCTCTAAGATTTATCGCTTATTACAAACTTGCTTTTTTGTGTGATAATTTTCCTGAAAACAAAATGTGTTGCAATCTAATATAATGTGAACCAAATAAAATAATTGCGAACGATTTTGTTGCCAGGAATGAAATTGTATAAACAATTATTAAAAAAAAAAAAATTGGCAAATCTTGATCGTGATAGAACATTAAAAGAAAAAAAAATCAACCGATGAAGAAGAAATAAAAATATTGATAAGTGATTTATATGAAAAGGGTAAGATTTTAAACAAAATAGAAGAAAAAGAATCAGATAATTAAGGACATTATATTAATCATATAAAAATAAAACATCTTAAAAAATATAACGTGACACTACTTTTATAATCAGACTTAACACGT